AGTGCTTTAACCCGCTGCGCCACCAGGGAGGGCCTGCCTCATTTTTTATGCTGCATAACTACTCCAACATGTGGAAATAACAGGACATATTTCATCAAAGTCCCACTGATGAACATTAGACTTAAGAAATTTGCTTTTGACCAATGATCTATAGTCAGTATCTTTGTGTCCTTGTGTGTAAGTCTGAGTATAAATTCCTCTGCAAAAGTATATACATTTTTACTTTCCATGAACATAACTGTCATTTGTTGCATATATTCTATGATCTAATCAAAGACTGATAAATCCTCACAACAACCTTTTGAAATAACCTCACATATTAAAGGAAACTGAGGCCCAAAAGTTTGTAAAGTAACATTTGTAGGCAAGGTCACACATTTAATTCGGGTATTTTCTCTTTTACAACTATTTTTCAGAAGGCCATAGCCAGTTCTTCTCCCTTTAGAATTTTATGGGTGCCCATCTAGCCACAATTTCAGTCTTATATATTCCCCAGTATTTGCATTTTACTTTATTGCCTGCGAATGTTCATTTTGGCTAGAGGCCAAATGAAGCTTATATAACCCAGAAGACACACTAGCTCTAGAAAGGCTAGTAACTTAGTGAACCTGGGTTTGGATAAGCAGATCTCAAGTGTACACAGCACAGAAACACATGGGAGGCGCTAGAGCGACTCCTACTCTCATTTAGCCTAACATCCCATGGCCTTACTGTCACCCCACACAAATTCTACCCAAGTGGTGAAGGTCGGCTCCACAGCTGCTCTCAAGCCGAAGAGAGCTACTTGCGTGGCCAGGGCTTGGGTCGATGTGTCACACAGCAAGCCCGGCCAGGGTTCCCTCACATTCCTTTGCGGAATGCAGGCCTCCGTTCAAGCCGGCCTTCTCTGCCTCAGCCCAGTCTGGCAACCACTCCTTCCAGGGCATTTGCGACCGCCTAACTCTCCAGGCCTCCTGCGTCAGACTGACCTGTGAGAGCTTTTGTCAGCTGGCCTGCTTGCTAGTCTACTTGGAGGTAGTGACCGCTGCAGTAGCTTTTCGGTTTCAGAACTCTCAAGGCCACTCTGCCAGGACCCGAGGTGGCACCAACCGCCCACGAATTGGGAACTGGGACCAGCATTTTTTCATCCTGGTTTCACTTCAACCTCACCCAGAGGAACCTATTCAAATGCCCACATTTTGATATCCGTACACAGGTGACTTCCTGTTCCCGAAGCTTTTGTCTTCCCCAATTGGTTTCTTTATTTAACAAATACCCTTTATCTCCCGCCAGAGGCAAAGCTCACGAGGCCCCAGGAGGCAGGCGGTATTTATCACTGGCCCTCCCCCCTTCCTGCTTGTCTGGCAGGAGTCGGCCTCCACCTTTGGAGTCGCAGTCAAGGACTGTTTTTATCCTGCAGACAAGTTTTCTGAATGGGAGCAGAACTCAGCTTCTTTTTCCCTTGACCATTGGGTGCTTGAAAATTCAGTCATATCCTCATACCCATACCCCTCACTTTGACTGCCAGGCAGGCGCAATCCAGGGGGCAGTTTCCCTCCCAGTCAAAAGTGAAACGGAAATGCAAGCGGAAGCCTAAAATAAAGCGGATTTTAAAAGCTAAACCTAAAGTGATACTATGTAAGTAACAAACATCCCCTTTGGGGAGGAGAATGGAGAGGTTTTTGAAGTAATGTAAAGACGGAGAGGTTTGACGGGTTAATAATTTTCCTTTTAGGTTATTTCCAGCTATCATGATACTAATTTCTAATCCTGGTGATGACAAGCTCCCCCCCCAAAAAAAAAAGGGGGGGGGGCTAAAAAGTTTGAAACTTAGGCCTTCCCTGGTGGTGCAGCGGTAGGATGCAGCACTTGAAGCTGGCGCAGCTGCTTCTGATCAAGTTCCATCCCCGGCCACGGAGCTGACCCACATGGCGCCCGACAGATCTCCTCTGACCGCCCGCTGCTCCCCTCAGCAGTGTACTTTGTCGACCCGACCCGCGGGTTCTGCTCCCCACTCTGTCTCTGGTGAAGCCTCTCGCCACCCCTGCACCTCTGGCTTGCACCCCAGTTCTATAAGCATAAATAATTAAAACCTTTTTTTTTAATGTAAAAAAGTTTTAAACTGGATTTTGAATTTCTAATTCTTTCCGGCAGCTTTTTCAAGTTGTGACTTAGCGAAGTTGCTCCACTAAGTGTGATCTTTTACCCCTTTTAGTATGAACTATGTATACATAGACTACTTGTGGTAACAGAGATCATCATGGCCTGTACTTTTAAAACCAGCACAAAAGGGTGACCAATCTCAACATAGTGTGCCCTTCCAAGTAATTCTGTTTCTATTCCTATGTAGAAAAACAAATGACAGAACAAAATGCATGATGTAATCCTTTATGGGACAGAAAATGTGTTACAATGTGTCCTGTGTGAGCAAGAAAATGTCTGGAACCCAAGTTAAGTAATGCTGAGGAAGTGAACTTTACACAACCCACTTGTTTAATATTTTTATGTATAGCTTTAGGGGAACACAAAGCCACATTAGGTGTTCAAATGAACCAAAAAGTTTAATCTTTCCCTTGTTCAAATACCCGAATTCCACTGTTGTTCATGTCCTTGTTTTGATAGAGAATATTTGACAATGATGTAAAGAGATCATTGTTTCTCAAATTATCGATTAAGACTTCTGCACAGATCTCTCTAAATTCTGACATGCAGAAAGTTTGAATATATGCCAAAGTGAAAGAGCTAACTTTAAGAGAATGTCTATAATAATCCTACATACAACATGCCCATTAAACTCAAGCCACCCATATTATTACACTAAAATATCTGCAGGAAGTTTCTAAAAGTGTGTTTATCATTGGATGACAGGATTCACTTTGATAGCAAATTTTTTTTTGCCATCAAAGACCCTGTTAGAAAATTCAACCTACACTTTTTGTCTCCTGATTATGGTTCTTAACCCCCATTTAGGATTCCTTCTTCGCTTTGAATATCCATCTATTGATTAAGAAGGGACAATATATGGCATTTCTAGAAATGACTCATCTTCATAAACAAAGAAAATGAACTTCACAAATTAATCTTTTCCATTTTGTTTCCCTTTCCAGTATCTAGCATGTTTTAAACATAAGTGCTTCTGTCCTTTTGTGTCACTCTAATCATTCCTGAGTTTTTAGCCCTCTGGGTCTATTGTCAGTCTTAACAGTTTAATTCCAAGCAAACAGGCAGTTGATTGTACAGTTCAGTAGGAAGGAGCTAGACTTTGGCCATTTCCTAGGCTTGTCTGTAACAGATTTTTCCAAAAACTTCTAGGCTCTTACAACTTGACATTGTTTTCAGATTTGTCATTTCATTAAGGTTCTTTTAGTTAGAGCCAAGAATTTTGTAAAAGACTTTAAGTCCTTGTTTAATTGTGCAACCAATACTTTCTATGATCTATACTATGATCTATTCAGCCTCTACTGCAAAGTTTGACATGGCATCCAAATACAGGATTGTTGAAAACGACATATCTGACGCCTTCATTTGCTAGGATAATTGAGTATTTTAGAGCAATAAATGGAATTTAGGGGAACCTGAGGAAAAGGGATAGGGAAACTGCTCTGCTGACGATTCTCTGCTGCTTCAGAAAGCTGGAGGTTTTCCATGGGGCCAGTACTGCGGAAAATCAGTGCCACCATCCCCCACCCTTGCACCTCCCACACCATGGTGGGAGTTAAGACTCCAAAATTTCAAGATGCCTGCTTAGCTATCTAAGGTAGGACAGTAATAATTGTACATTGCAACATATTAAACTGTTCTAAACAGTGCCCTGAAAAGATCTGGCACTTAAAAATTCCACTTTTTTCCTTGGAGAACAGAAAAAGGGGGATTTACTGAAATATGCTAAAGCTGTGTACAAGACTTGAGAAAGGTCATTTGCTTAAATGAACTTAAGAGTCTCCACTCTTGGTCTCTTTCAGTTAGCCTCTGACACACCTTAAGAGAGCTCAACTTATCTTTCCTATCTAGATCTTCCCAACCACACTCACCTTAAATAACCACCTACCTAGCACTGCACACCCTGTTCTCTTCCTTTCTTTATGCAACAATTCTAAGGTAGCAGCTCCCCTCCATCGATTTCAGTTAACCCCTCACCACACATCAGAAATGGGTAAGGCCCAACCAAGTTTAGTCAAAATTTTACTCATTGCACCAGTGAGTCAAGTCAGGGTGGAGACAACTAAACACAAAATAAACATCTCTTTTATTTTTACTTATAAAAGTCTAAACCAACTAAGCCCAGGGGTACTGTTATCAGGATGTAGCAACACAAAACAACTTTCTTAATATATGTGGGCACATCTTAGAGGGTTTAACAAATACAGCAATGTGGGAGCAGAGATAATCAACTTAGCACAGCACATAACTTCTTCACCTTAACAACTGAGTTTTTTTTTAAGATTTATTTATTTATGCATACAAGAACTGGGGTACAGGCCAGAGATGGGGGGAGAGGATTCACCAGAGACAGTATGGGGAACAGAACAGGCAGATGCACTGAAATACACCGCTGAGGGGAGCAGTCAGGGAGGTCTGCCACGCCATTATCCACAATAGCTGTGGATAGCTTCACAGTGCTGTGCTTTAACGGGGAGAGCTTCATGGTGCTTTAACCCACTGCGCCACCAGGGAAGGCCTGAACAATTGAGGTTTTAACTAGCCTCCCAATCTCAGAAAAGAATCTTTCATTATACAGCATTGTGCTTTTTGCTTCCTATTCCTGAGTCTAGATTCCAAAGATTTTCAGACAAGGATCATATCTAGTTATCTATAGCACACATCTTGTATAGTGCCCAGAGCAGTCAAGCCCAGAGAAACCTGACTTAGTGTTCAATTGGGCAGCAACCCCCCCATCCCACCCCCCACCACACACTAAGCATGCTGAGAATCAGGCTATCAAGGAAGAGATATAAAACTCTAGAACTCCTAGAAGTAATAGCCACACTGCCCAGATTGAGGATGCATAAATATACCCATCTTCACACATCTTCAGACTGTGCATTCATGGAATAAGTCGGGAATAAATCCATGATTTGCTGGGTACTAAAATACTTGCTGGGTGGCTGTATAATGTTATGATTTTCCCCACAAATCTCCAAGGTGGCCTCCAAATCACTGAGAGAGAAATTTTGTTGGAGCTGGAGCAGAGGGGAGAAGGGGTCCTCGCCAGAGCTGTGGAGTGGACTGTTCCAGGCCTGATGGTTCCAGGGCTGGTTGTTCCAAGGCTGAGTACACCAGGGCTGGCTCCAGGACTGGCTGCCCCAGGTCGGGTTACTCCAGGGCTGGTTGCTCCATATTGGAAGGTCCTCAGGAGTGTTCACCAGGCACCCCTGGTGGTAAGAGTAGAGGCTGGTGTAGTCTGCAGGTGCCCAGAGCTTCTGAAAGAGAATGGTGGATTCACTAAGGGTTGGAGGAAAATCACCATTGTCTGTGGTTGGGATCTTCTGCTTCAGCAATGGACAACCCTGGACAGTCATTGAAAGGAAAGCAAAAAAAAAAATGCATGCTTCGGCCCTCCCTGGTGGCGCAGCGGGTTAAAGCACTGCACTAAGAAGCTAAAGCCACTTCTGCATGAGTTCCATTCCAGCCTGCGCTGGAGGTGACCACATGGCGTGGCAGACCTCTCCTGACCCACTCACTGCTCCCCTCAGCAGTGTACTTCGTAGATCTGCCTGTTCTGCTCCCCACTCTGTCTCTGGTGAAGCCTCTTGCTGCCCCTGAGCCTCTGACCTGTACCCAGTTCTGTATGAACAAAATCTTTAAAAAAAAAAAAAATGCATGCTTCAGCATACCTGAGTCATGCCGCTCTTTGGCCAGCTGCTCTTCTGCCACCTCTTACATTTCATTCTCTGATTTTGGAACCAAGTCTTAACCTGCAGAACAAAGGTAACAGGAAAACAAAAATATTAGCCTGGTGCAAATGTACTAGATATGGAAGAATATTAACATTTTTTCCCCTGAAAGCTACAAGTATCTACAGGTCAGGAGCAAAAATTGAATTCTAGAGTCCTTGGAGCAGTATCATGAATGAGTATTTGCTGAATAGAATTGCAAAGCCCCTCATTCAGGTGACTGCTTTTTTTAAAAATAAATTCAACCAATGAAGTTCACAGTTAAGTGTCTATTCATCTCCCTTTCAAGGGTTCACTACCTCTTATAGTCACAGCTAAGGGCGAGTTGTAATTCAGAATCTCCCCAAGCATATTGCTTATAAGTAGAAGCACATATGTGATAACGGTAGGACCCCCCCTGCAGGCATTGAAGGCATGGTGCTATGAAGCTACTGCCACTGCCAGCCACTATAGTAGTTGGGAGGTGACCCACATGGTGAAGCAGACCTTTCCGATCTCCCCCACTAAGCAATGTACTTGAGTCATCTGCCTGTCCTGCTCCCTACTCTGTCTCTGGTGAGTCTGCTCACCACTACCTACCTCTAGCCTACACCCAAGCTCTTGTATGCACAAGTAAATCTTTAAAAAAAATAAAGTGATAATGGTATAGTGCCTTAATATGAATTATAAGACATATACTAGGACAGCTATTTAGAAAATAGCAAGTCATATTGCAGCACAAAATAAAATGGAAATTTCCCAATGGTTTATAAGCTCAGAGTTATACAGAGCTCACAGAATGGGGAGGAAAAATTATGTATTATGAAAGATGGAACAGGACCTCCTAGATGGGGCACTAGTAATAGAAACACAAATTTGAATAAAATGGTCAATACATACATATAAAAAAAGGATTTGCCTTATAGTCATTGAATGTACACAGCTAAACGCAAGATTCCAATTTTACTTAAATGAAATCCAGTGTTAGCTAGGGACTCCCCTCCCCTGGAAGATGCACAATTGGTTTTTGATTAAGCAAAAACTAAAAACATTTTCACAATTTTGGCTTGTGCAAGGGAAATTGATTCAATCATGACATTTACACAATACTGAATGAAAGATGGTCATAAAATGTTACAAAGATTATTTTTATACTAAAGCTATTAGTAAGGGCTAGATCAACACAGAATACATAGAAAAGTGCTAGTGACCTGTTTGTAACTGAGGTTCAGGAGGTTGGAAAGTTCCTGCATCTGCTGGAGGCTGAGGTATTTCTGTCTCTGAAATCTGTCATTGAGCACACACAGCTGGGTCTGTGAGAACACCGTTCTGCTCTTCTGTTTCTTGACTGGGATCCTCTCTTCCTTTTTCTCTGTGCTGTTCTCTTCAGAAGTGGAGCAAAGTTTGACTCGGGGACTGGTGGAAGAATCAGGGCTGTCCTGAATAAGCAGATCCATGGAGGAAGGAAGAGGAGAGACTGTTGGGAATAAAACGACACTTTTCTCTAAAACTTCTCAGGGATTAAATTACATCAACAAACTTTACTGTTCCCAAAACACTTCAGTCCTCATATCTGGCCGTAACAATCTCATTCTTGAGTGTCCTGAACACTGACAACCTTCTTACCACGCCAGTCTACATAACAGGCAACCTCACCCATTTGACTAATACCTCACATTGTTGGGAATGGGGTGAGATCCAAGTCCTGTCCAGCAGGATGTGCCAGAGCTCACACCTGGGCAGTTCATGAAGATGAGAATGATTGCTTGACTCCCACCTGTGTCCCTCCCAGGACTTCCTTTTGTGGGGTTAATCACCTCCAGATTATGTGAAATTGCCCATAAAGTCATGCTTACACCCCAGTTCCAAACTATCAAGAGGGCACAAGGGGCTAAACCTCAGCACTAGGAAGCAATAGGCAGCCACTGCAACAGTTTGATCCCCTGCCAGGGGCCGTAACCCACAAGGCACAGCAGACCTCTCCTGTCTCCCCCACTGCTCCCTTCGGCAGTGAATTTCAGTTATTCCACCTGTTCTGCTCCACACTGGTATTTCTGCTCACAGACCCACACCTCTGGCCTACACCCCAGCTCTAGAAGCGTAAATAAATCTTCAATAAATAAGTGAATAATCAGGGGGAGCGGGAAATGTTAATTTTGATAGGCTTCTATCCATACATTGCCTTTTTATTTTTTTGTAACAATTTGAAAGGGCAGGTTTATTAGGAAAAGCAGGCACCTGTATAGTCACAGGCAGGCAGCGCGAGGCTTGCCTATTGATATTCTGTGCCTTTATTGATCTATGATCTCTCTTCAAAATTATTCCACCCTCATGTAATTTTATTGACTAAAGGAACTGAAAGCTGTCTAGCATAGGACTGGGCATATATTGTTTTTACAACTTGTAAAAATTTCCTATACTACCTAGACTTAGGTACAATTCTTCCCTAGCCTTAGAATAGACAGGCTGTAAAAGACAAAGTCACAACCTCATGCTTCTTTGAACAAATCCAAGGAAGGAAAAAAACCTCTGATCACTTTAAGTGGGATTTACAGCATAAAAACAGGCCATCTATTAGCTAACTTACATTTGACTTGCTGAAGTAGGCATGTCCCAATCCAAGCTATACTTTAAGCGTTTGAAATTAGGTAGCAGTTATTGTGCTCATGTATTCCTTCTCCACAACTTATTTCAACAATGTCAACCAAATTATTTTAAGTTGTTTTACACCATAAATACTAAAAACTGTATTCCTGGGTTCAAGTTGGTTTATTAATTCTCTAATTCCTTTATTTTGGAATTAACATTAAGTATATGACATATTCAGTATTCGTACGCATTATGAAACAACCACATTAATGCTAGTTAACATCAGTTCCCATAGTTCTTGCCAGATAATTTAAGATCTATTTTTGTAACAATTTCCAAACATACAATACAGTACTTATTAGTCACTATACTATACATGTAATACAGTGCACTCTCATGACGTATAACTGTAAATCTATACATTTGAACCAACTAACCTTTAACAACTACTAAATTGTTGATTTTTCAAAATAAAGTACCAATTTTACAGTATTTGGAGCATCCCACACATGCAGCTTATGAGTCTCATTACTAGGCTGTGGGTTTAAGTCAAATCTTAACTCAGGCCACTAGCTGTCAGCAGATAATACATGCTGGAATTATCTTTATCGTAAAATGGGGAGATTCCTTGGGACTTAGGAGACTGAATGTAGTAGCCGAAAGCAAACTCAGAGGTGCACAGTAACATCACACACCCACAGAATGGGAGAAGAGTCAATGGCTTGTTTTGTAGATGGGTCAACAGTCCAACAAGGTGAGTCATAGTTGCCCATGCCATTTCCGGTGCACCCCAGTAGTGGGCAAACCAAAAGGCATGCTCACTACCACCCCGTCCCCCCACAACCCAGTCCGTCTTCTGGCTCAACAGTACCATTTACTGGTACTGCTCTTGTGCTCTAGTCTTTCAGTCCAGTTTCCCACATGGCATCACTCACCAAGTTACAACCTAGAGAAACTGAAGGGTGACTCAATAGGTACTTGCTTATGTTGATGGACTGCAGTTGCTCGAAGGCCCTTAGTTCCCCCGATACCTTTTTGACCCCTTCCTTTAAAAAACTTAGCGTTTTAAGGACTCAATTTTGTCTTACCATTCTCCGTGTGGGGCATCTCAGCAGAGGACTTAGGTAAGGATGAATAATCTTCTTCAGCTTCATAAACCTCAGGCATTGGCGAAGACGCTCTAGAAGTGGATGTTTCTGGGCAAGGCAGGCTTTGGGAACAAACTGGACCCACACTCATGTTGTAGAGGTGAGGGAGAGGGGAAAAAGCCAAAAAGCTAAATTGCCTGAAAGACCCAGGCTTAAGTGTTCAGGAGGAAAAGCTCAAGAGAAAGATGAAAATGTGTAAAAGCGATACAAAAAAGAGGGGGCAAAGAAGTGAATCCACACCACAGTAAGAGGTACCAAGAAACCTAATGTAGAAGAAGGTGGAAATTTTGGTGTCTCTAGATTTATAAGGAAGATTCAACCATCCTGAGGCCCGCCCCTCTGGGCTGCCCCACGCCCACACACACCCTTTCAAATTCTCAGTTAATCCTGTCTGCCAGCCTCCCCAAGGCCATTGTAATGCAAAAGGTAGCTGCGGGGTAACCCAGACTGGGTGGGGTACTAGAAAACTGGGACCTCAGACCTGGGGACAGAATAAACCCAGAGAATTTCTGGGTTCTCCATGTTTCCATTTTTAAAATAAAAGATGCACTTCCATTTCCTTCCAGTGATGGAAATTTCCACTAAGACCATCAACTCCTTAGAGAGTAGCAATATCTAGTTAAGATAGAAACTTCAACTCGCACCTTTTTCTAATTTGATTCACATTAAGATTACAATAAAACATATATTTGTATGTCCCTAAGGCATCGCGGATGTTGGATGTAGAACTAGCTTCCACCTCGGACTTCTGATCCTTCTTGCTGTTTAGCTTTTTGAAAGTCAAGCAAATCTTTGCACTAGAACTGTGGGCATGTTTTTACAAAAGCCGGAGCAAGGAACGGTATCCCCCTAACCAAAGATACTGCAGTGCCCTGAGAATAATTAATATACCACTACTATGGAAGATATAAAATTAGGTTCTAGACTTAGCACATTAGATAGAATGTGGACTCAGTCGCTTGAATGCATCTCAGGCTCCTCATCTGTAGATAGGGGTGAAAATATCTTCACTGCATAGTAAAAATTAAAGTGTCAATAATATGAATGTGTTATTCATAATGTCTTAAAGCATCGGTGATCTACTAACTGTCGTTGGTAGAAATTCTGTGGCATCTACCCCGTGACCTCCAAGTCTGAAGTTAACCTTTCTGCTGTGATTGTTACCATAATAGAGCCAACACAAGACTAAAATGAGCGCACCTCCTTCTAATTTCACCTGGGATCTAGCTCGTTGTAAAATAATGAAACTTACTGGCCTCAAACCCAACTGAACAGAGAGGGAAATAAATCCTCTAGGCAGGTGATTCTACTGTAAATGGACTTGCTAAAGCACTTTTGAGAGGTTCCTTTCCGACTCTTGTTTGGCCCCCTGTCAATCTGTCCCTCTCAAGCAGCCGTCTCTTTCTGGCTTTCTCTCCTCTGGCTCTTTTCTCTAATTAGTTTTTCCTTCTCTGAACCTGGCAACACTGTCCTGTCCTCACCCACACCAACCTCACTTTACCAAAATTTTTTTTTTCATGTTTTCAAAAAGAACAGATTTTAGAGCCAGTCTCCAGCACAAATGTGTTGTAGACAAAGAACGTCTACAACACTTTAGAGTTTTCTTCCTCATTCCCAAATTGAACATTCACGATACCTAAGATTTCCCCTTCTTGTTTCCTACCCCTAAAGAGCCAACTCTGCAAATTCCAAATATATGTTTCAGACCGGACCTGGATGCTTGGCTAATCATACTGTGCCCTTCGCTGCCTGGGTCCCCACACTGGGCTTCTGGCTTCGCTCCCAGCGGGATGATTTTTGTTCCCCCTACAAAGACACGGAGTTGTGAACACAGGACACAGTGCCAGTCCAAAGGACTGGGATGAAGCCTATGTAACCTTTCCTTTGTTGCTTCAGACCAGTCCAGCTGGAGGGGGACAGAGTAGGAATCAGAGGAAGAGGAGGAGGAGGCCAGAACTGCACTGTGCTTCAGGTTTCTTTTAAAGGAGGGATGTGAGGTGCCAGATGGGAACTAGCCTGATCCTGATGAAGATTTCACAGTACACCCACATATCAAATTGTGCTGTAGACCTTAAATGAACACAAAGCTATTCTTCACCTACATCTCAATAAAGTTAGGGGGACATAAATTTAAAAAGGGGAAAACATTTCTTTCTGGCTCTCAGTTCACACTTTCATAAATGAGGGCTGACAAGGCCACCAAATACCTTCGTTTGCTTGCATCTTTGTAAACTGCAGGTAGAGAAGCTTTGTTCTTTGCAGCTGGGGGTCTTTGCTTGGAAGCCTGGGGTGAATTCACCCCATCCCCCCACCCATGTCCCATTGTAGCTGGGGTAAGAGCCCCCAGGTTGAAAGACTGCGGGGGGAAGGGGGCTGGTAGCCAGAAGGCAGACTTACTGCATTCTTTACCCAGGAAGGCAATTTGAATAAGGTTGGGAATGTTTCGGAAGCTGTCGGTGACTTTGGGTTTGTTGGGGTTGGCTGTGCAGGTGGAGGAGGGGTGTGTTAGAACGGGCTTGAGGCCAGGGCCACAACTGCAAAATTGATTCTGGGAAATCTTGATTTTATTTTTTTTTCAATTAGAAAACAGTTTTTCTTTTATTTATTATTTTTTAAATTGAAATAACTATGACAAATAAGTTTCAGATGTGCATCTTTTAAAATTTTTTATTAAATTTTTTTATTGAAGTACAGTCTGAAAGAGTCTAAAGTTTATAGCAGACTAACAGTCTATGACAGTCTAAAAGCTTCAGGTGTTCGTTGTTGAGAATCCACATGTGTAGATAATCCATGGAGGTCAAGGCTAAGCCCAGTTCTGTCCTTCAACAGGCCTTTGTCCCTTTTTGTTCCATTAACCCCCTTGCCTCAGATGGTGATGTTAAACTTTATTTTCCTGAGACCATCATCTGGGAATGAGAAGAAAAAGAAAGCTGAATATTAGAATTGGCAATTACTTTACTAATAAGGTTTATGCATCATTTATAGGGATTCCTTTATGAGCACAGAGCCCCCAATTTTCCATCAGGTTTTGCTAATTTATCAAGGTAAAGAGGAAGAGTTAATGTTACCAAATCTCAATTGGCAAGCACAGGCTATTTATCAAACAGGTGGAATTATTGAACTTAACAACTGATTTATACTTGAATTTGCTTGGGTATAACTGTTCCCATTTCTTCTTTTTACATTGTCTTACTCAACCTAATAAACCCATTCAATAAGTCCTCATTCTGTGGACATAAGTATTCACGTTTGTACATACTTAGTGATTTTACAAACATTTATTAGCCAGAAACTATCTGGCTATGCCTTTCAACTAAAAGGTAATAATTGCCTATCAAATGCCTGAGAGAAAAAAATTAAACATAACCTCTACTTTTGAGGAGCTAACGATTTGGTACAGAGATCAAAATAGACTAAAAAGTCCAAAGCAGGTGCCTTGAGTCTTCTCCATTTCTGTGTGGGACCATCCACCGTCAGCTTGTTCAGTCCCAAATCTTACAGTCAACTGTGTTGGCTGCCTAAAAAAATACACCTATAACCCAACTGCCTCTGTTTTTTAATTCTTTTCCCTCCACATATTTCCCCCCCACTGAGTGGGTTTTGATTATCCTATAAACTAAGGTGTGGAGAACCAGCAGGTCAGCAGGAAAGGGATGTTTCTTTTAAAGAGTGGTGTTTATTTTATTACAGTCTGTGTCACAGGAGAGCTGGGGACTTTAGTAACCTGTCTCCTCTGGCAGGAGAGTAAACTGCCATTGGCAAGTGTGCAGAACCAGGCTGTGCTGGCCTTTCCTACGTATCTCCAAAGCACTACCCTTTCCAAACCATCTGTCTCTTGGATTATCCCAGCAGCCTCCCAACTGGTTTTTGTGTTTGCACCCTGGGCCTAACCTCATCTCAGTGTTATTAGCCAGAGTAAAAATTTTTTTAAGATGTCGCTTCAAGTTATTACTGCTCAAAATCCTCCTTTGTCTTTCTCACATGCAGAGTATGGAGCATTGTCACTACTGGAACCATTTTAAAATAGGGCTGGGCTAAAAATGCTGCAGTAAAGAAGCTGCCTTAAGTGTTCTCTTTAGACAGGGCTAGTACTTTGCACTGGTTCAACCACCAGTTGGAAAGGAGAGTATTCTTTCAGAAAAGACTGAGAAACTTTAACTTAAACCTTTTCTTGCCTTTGATTCTCTCACCAGACTGCTTTATCATCTTATCCTTCTTCGCCCCGCATCCCCCAACTCCTCCAGATACTATTTGGGTTTCTTTCTTTTTAAACAATTTCTTTTTTATTTATGCATACAAGAACTGGGGTATAGACCATGGGTTTTCATGGTGTGAGAGAAAGTCAGGGTTTTCACCCCTCTTTATGTCTTGATCCATTTTTTCCCAGAAATCTAACCAGCTTGCTCATTATGTTTTTAAAAGATTTATCTTTATTTATTTATGCATACAAGAACTGAGGTGTAGGCCAGACATGTGGTGGGATGAGCAGCACAGGAAAGGTCTGTACCATGTGGGTCAGCTCCCTGGCCAAGGATGGAAGTTGTACTGCAGTGGCTGGCAATAGCTTGACAGCAACCTTGATCAGTATTCTTTAAAACTTCAACATCACCTTGTCAAGTTTCCCATTCCCACTTGAATGGGAATCCTTCCTAGTACTCAATCACCATCTTCTAAATCTATTCACTCTACCTACCTTCCTATTGTCATCATCAGCTCTGATTACTGCCATTAGAATATTTTTATCTCGTGCTGTTTTTTTTTAGTGTAGTCTCCCCAGCCCTAGGTAGAGTGGTCTGTAAGTCAGCATCAGCAGTATCCCTGGGAGCTTCTGAGGGATACAAATAGATGAGCTTGACCACACATACCAATAGAAGTCTTCGATGGCAGGCACCAGGGATCTGTGCTTAAAAAGTTCTCTAGATGATTCTTTCCCATACTATATGTGAACTATTTCTCTAGAACAATACCAGGCAAATAGGAGATGCTTTACTACTTGTTGATGAAGGAATGAGTTTGAGATCTCAGAGTTTTTGTTTTTGTTTTGAAGGTTTATTTTTAT